TGGGAAAAAAAAAAAAAAAAAAAAAAGGCTCTTAGTTATAGTAGGCAAAGGAAAAGATCCAGTTGTTCCAGCTCCACCCAGAGAGAGAAACAGGATTCATAGCTCAGGAGAGGGAAGGGGAGTAGTGGGAATCTCTGTGTTCCTCTGTATCCTCAGCCGGTATCAAAGCACTGTTGCAAAACCCTGTGAGTCATCAGCTGCCTCACAGCACCAGGACTTTCAGGTGAAGTTAAACTTGGACTTGCTCCTTCTTGCCTGTAACTAGGGGTGAAATGTCTGAGGTTTTAGATGTCAGATAGCTAGCTTTCTGCTGTGTCAAATTCTGGCTTATGATAATAGTACGCTGGTATGTTTTATAAGGTTTTTCTTCTAGCTAGCTATATTGTGTTTCCTTTTACCTAGAACTGGCAACATCCTTTACTTTGGGTTTGTTACAAAGAAGTTTATTTTGACAGAAAAATCACAGAATCAAAATGGTGAATTGGGTGGCTATTTGAGGTTTACAACTTCGTGAGTGCTTATAGCATGCTGATACTGAGCCAGGCTTCTTCAGTTCACTGCTTCTTGTCTCATGGTTGTCTCAGTTCAGACTGGCACTCCAGAGCAAGAGTAAATGGATGAGTGCAGTTCTGTCATTACTATACAAAAACCAGAGAGTTAGAGACAGCTCCTGTCACTTTATAGTAATATTTTTATAACTGGTAACTTTTGCATTGGGAAGTAGAAGGCAGCAGCTATCCAAAGCTGATAGCCAAAAGCAAATCAGCTTTGAAAAAGCTTTCAATCTTTTTATTTTCATTTGGAAGATGATTTAGGCTATTAATTCTAGTTAGCATCCCTTCACGTTGTTTTTCACAAATTGTAATTACATGTATTGAAGTTCACAATTTTGCATCTTATGTCATCTAGTGAAGTGATGATGCTCCTCTGTCCAGGAGCACCCATGTGTGGAATTTTCCTGACCTTGACCATCACTGCCATCTCACACCCCCTCCCCAAGGAGGGAATCTTATGAGACAAAGCACTGTTGGCTTGCCATGGCAACCTTTTATCCATACTGAAAAAGACATGTGAAATCATCGTATGATGTCTACTACAATGGGAAGAGCAAAGGGAAAAACCACAGCATAAGTTGTCTACTCAGATACAACCCTACAGTCAAATGACACAGTCTTGGAATTAATGAGCCATCATGGAGGAGTCCCTGGAATGGCTGTGTTTTAATCTTAAAAAATAGCTTTTGTAGAAGAAATTGGAAGTAAAAAAAAAAAGTCAGAATCCAATTTGTATTAGTTGGCATATTTGCTTGAATGCCTGGTTTACATTACACAGCACTGGTGTGAAGGCACTAATAAGGCTTTCTTCAGATACTCCAAAGGACATGAGAAATAGAAGCAAAACATCAGTGGCTATGACAACTGTCACAGCAGTAAAGGCAACTATGTTACATCAAAACACTGGCTTGGATTTATAAATCCCTGTATGTCTAAATCCTATCTGTATTAGTTTGCTTTGTTTAAAGCAGCTCCTGTTTTTAACAGAGGGAGGCTTTTTTCTCTGCTCTCTTCCCTCTCCCTTCTCTCCTCCCCACTGAAAACTTTTGCAATGATAAAACAATAACAAAACCAGGCCCTTGATTTCTACTAAAACACAAACATCTAAGTCCGTCTCAATGTCAGTTAGCTTCACAGTAAAGCTAATAAACCTTATTTAACTTTGATTTGCTCCAATGAAGACTCACGTGTTCTTTATGTTTGTTTTCCCCAGTCAAGAACAGAAACCCAAATGGTTTCTTATTCAAAGCAAGGGAATTTTTGATGGCAAGGTGTTTTCTGGATTTCCTCATACAATTAGTATTTCTTTGGGAAAACTAAAGCTGGGAGAAAGAATCATAATCTACTTCTCTGTGGTTTGCTTCCTATGGGGAATTTTTAAGGGAAGTGGGTGGACAAATAAAAGTAACTTTTCCTCTTTAAGGAGAGTTAAGAGTAGGCCTGTATTTTAACATTCACAGTTTATGTCAAAAGTCTGTGCCTCCAAATTATTTTTCATTTGATTTAGATTTTTTAATTTCACTTAATTTAGGTTTTTTTTCACTAGATTTTAGATTTTTGTGTTCTAACAAACTTAGACCCAGCCGAACATTCTTCTCTTTGGAAAGATTGCCTTCACCTAGTGAAGCACTGAATACAGGATAAACTCACTCTGAGGCATTTTATCCTTGAATCAGGTGTTTTACATTATGTGCATGGGCACTGCCATTAGCTAAGGTGTCTAATGGAGCAGTTTTTACTGTATGTGCTATGGATTTTTTTTTAGTTTTTCTTTTATATGAACTTCCAGGTTGTTTTTTTTTTTTATCTTTCAGAGATCACGATACTGGCTTCTGATGTCATGACACTTGAAACATAATTGACTTGGGGTTGTGCCAGCTTCTGACTGTATCTCAAAGCCTTGTTGCTCATCTTTCAGTTTTATTTTGATGACAGTTTTCTAATATTATCCTTAACGTAAAGCAGAATTATGGCCTTCTAAATACTGTAGAAAAAAATGCCTTCACTGAAAGCCTGAAGAGGAAGAGTTGTTTATTGCTGCCATCCTGGATGTTGCTTCTTCCTTGGTGTGGGCAGCCCTGGAGCTTCTGTAGCTCAGGAATACAATGGGAAAATGCAGAGAGCTGTTGTTCTGGCAGCATGTGCTGGATGAACAATTGCTTCCCCTCTTTCCAGTGCTATCACCATAGTCTGTGGATGGATGGCACCACTAAGCAATAATCTGTCTTTTTTATCACCTCATTATGTCTTAGCTGATGCATTCAACTGAAACTGGAGGGAAATAAATTCCTTTATGTGTACAGTAAAATCAGCTTGCTGATAATGCTCTATGGTGGCTTACCTGCTATTCTGACAAGGTCATTACTTCTACTTATTGTCTAGTGCTTGAAGCTTACTCTGGAAGTCTCTATATCCTCCACTTTTTTATAAGATTTAGGATAGAATTGCACTTTACAGTGTAAAACTGTTATACTACTTTCCACTGTAGTCATAAATAGGTAGTGCTGCATAAATATCAAGAGCAGACAAAGGCCTAAAACTCCATAAAGTAATTGTTCCCAACAAGATTTATATTCTTTAAAGCATAGTGCTTTGTTTGGCAAGTAAAACTGAGAGGTGGCTTTGTATTTGAGAGTAGCTAGACAAACAGAGGGTAGAAGCCAAATCTGTCTTTAGGCTGTGTAACCTTGGGTGTGGTGTTAGAATGAGAATAAACCCAGTTTAAACTCATAATGCTGCCAGAAAGGATTTAGATCCCAGTCCTGGCCCTGTATCCCTGCCTTCTCCCCAGGAGGTCAGCACTGCCTCCCTCTGCTTGCAGTTAGCAGGGTTTGGCCCTGATCTACCTGCTTTTTTTCTATAGGGCTCCTTCTGTGTATGTGGCCGGAAGGGAGTAGGGCTATGACAAAGGTTGGCAGCAGGAACGTATGGACAGCATCACATGGAAACTTGTACTCCTTCTGGGAGCAGCTGCATCCTTTAGCAAAACTGTCCATATTTTTTCATGAGTTAAAGGCGAGGAAAGAGTAAGATACAGCAAAACAGAGACTTTCTATGTGTGCTCAAGACATTTCGTATTTGAAAATAATTTGTGCAGTCTTTAGGTCTTTTTTTTGTGAGGAGGTGACATGCAGACCTTCAAACTACATTTGTTTGAGCATCTTGTGACAGTATACAGGGTACGTATATTTGTGCAGGTATGCTTAATCATCAGGCCCTCCCTGTCTAGAGCACCTTTTCAGTAAGAAAGTGAAGGAGGGGAGGACAGAAGGAAGTGTTTTCTCCTTTTCTCTTCATTTTCTCATTACCTTTGAAATTAGGAAAAAAAGAAAACACGACACAATAGTTCTCTGTGATGTTATGTGCTTGGCCCTGACTTATGCGTAGTTCTGATAATAGAGCAAAATGAGAGTAGTCCAGATCTTGGCTTGTTTTGGCCGATTGAAGATAAGAACTGCTCTTACTGTACTTTTCGTGGGATTTTCCTAATGGAAGTGACACAGTCTCTCAAGACAAAGCATGCCTTCTGAGGTGTCTGACTTGCAAGGAAGTTGTGATTCAAGTGGTCACAGGTCTCGAGCACTAGAACTTCTGATTCATAACAAGGTTGGGCTTGGGGTTCCCCTCCAGTCTGTGGAAGTGATGTAGGGCGGGTGAACTCTTGGACTCCTTGGCTTTTAGGCACTGCAAACCAACAATTTGGGCAACGTTTTAAAAAATAATAACAATTCAGAGTGTTACAATCATTTTCTCAAGAGGCTGGGAAAGTTTCTACTTTATCCATTGGAAGCACATAAGAAATATGAAACATTTTAAAGACTTCTTATATTCGTAACAGCGCAAAACACCATTCGGTAAGTTGCACCTACCAAACTTCTTCACTGAACAGAGCAAACTGAAATTATTCCTCTCTATGAGCAAATTCATTACCATTTTTATTACTGTCTGCCTCACAACTTGTAAGAATGCTGATTGCTGCCTTTGTGTGCTGCAGTCACATTCAGAGTAGACATGTTAACACTCAATAGAGTAGTAGATGGATTTCTGTCCTGACTCCAGCCAATGGGAAGATTAACGTAACTTTATCAGGATAATGTTTCTTCTAGAAGCACATTCTTAACTTAGGTTTGGCATTGATTCTTGACCAGTGCTGTAATCTGACTTGAAAATCAAATATCTGAAGTATGAGATATTTACTGTGTTCCTGTCAAAGATTCTCTAACTGTTGCGTGCTTACAATACTAAAAATAGCTGCATTTTGCCTAGATTGTAAAAATAAATATCAATAAGTCATTTTGAAATCTTATTTTGCTAGAAGGATGATGTCTTCCAGTGTTACTGTTTTCTGCTTTTTTCTGGGTGTGGCAAAATCAGTGACTTAACATATTAAATTTTTACTGTAACAGTTCACCATGAAATTATGCTTTTTCCTCATTTTCTTTGTAGGCAACAGAGATTTTGCTCCTGATGATCCACTGGAATTTAAGTCTCATCAGTGGTTTGGAGCATCTGTGAGATCCAAAAATGATAAAATTTTGGTAAGTTTTTGTTGCTTTTCAGATGCTTCAGTACTGCTGTATTGTAGTGGAAAAGATACAGAAGGATCTTAATGACTCAGAATTTAAGTAATACTTCACTAATCAGCTTGATCTGTCTTTTTCAGAGTTTTAAAGTATTCATAGACAAAGGTTGTAGCAATTTTCTCTGGCTTTGAGAAAAGTAGTAGAATTCATTTTCTGAAGTTAAAATGTGTTTTGAATTCTTAAAGAACTCCTCACAAATGTTGCTTGAAGAAAATATTATTTCTAAATTTCTGGCTTTAAGTCAGCTCTTTCTAAAAACATAAATATTTCAGCTCGAACAAAATCTCCAGTAGTCCATGGTGCATCTGTCAAAATGTCTTTGGTTTCTAATCTGTTAAAAAAATGAAAAATAAGGCAATTCCATAGTGTTAGTCCTTCTAGTCCGCACCTCCCAGCATTTTGAAAAGGAGTTTTTTTTCCTCACTGCTGTCGTCTTCCTTAGGCTTGTGCCCCATTGTATCACTGGAGAACTGAAACAAAACAAGAGCGAGAGCCTGTGGGAACTTGTTACCTGCTTACTGGATCCAAATCTGTGGAATATGCACCCTGCAGGTCAAGTAAGTGATTTGTTGTGCTTCTGTTAGGAATTTTTCTTGTTACATTCTGTGTATATCTGAAGAAAGAAGTTTTACAGGTATTTCCCCCTTATAGCAATTTGAAATAAACTAAACTACATTTATATATCTGGATTCTTCTCCAACTGATGATCAGGGTCCAGACCTTATTTCTCTACTGTAGGTCAGAGGAAAATCTTTGATTCAAATGTAATTGGAACCAGAAGATGCCAGACTTCTTATTGACCACTTCACTAGCAATGGCTTGAGAGTTGAAACTGAAGCCCTTTTTTCTTCCTCTCGAGATGTGGATGTTCCTCTGTAGCCAGTGCAGTAATCATAATAATATTTTACTTCATGCTCTTCACAGCTGTCTGATTGGCATAACATTAGGACAGCACATCTGGCACTTGACGACCATCTCTAGACATTTCTGAAGCTTAATTATTCATGCAGCTTAAAGAAAAAGCTCACTTGCACAAAATCATGCAGAGGAAGCTTCTGATTTCCATGAATGTGTATATACATGATGACACACTTTTAATTCCATTCATTGTTCAGTGCTGAGTCTTACTTTCCAAATGCTTTGCATCCTTACTGTGTAATTGAGTTGGTATACAGTTCAAAAGCTTATAACCCTATTTTTCTTTTTTCTTTTTTCTTTTTTCTTTTTTCTTTTTTCTTTTTT